AGACATACATACATACATAAAACATAAGAAAGTATAATTTAGGAAAAGAAAACTAAATTTCGAAACCCTTTGCTTCTTTCTTGGCTAGATCTTTCACTTCTAAGTTCGAAGTCACATTACTTCCACAACCATCTTCGTTGCCTCTACGCAATGACGCTTCTCAATGTCTTTAAATATTTACTTTTTTGCATTTTGAACCCGCTTGATAAAAGTTCTAGGTCCGTCACTGATAGCAACGAGCCTGAACTCCGCCTGATCGACCTCCTCCTCTAGAATGGCCTTAAATTGACTGAGCCCCAACCCTAGCTCGTTGTTAGGGTGGTGTAACTGTTGGTGGTGACACCATAGGCTGCATGCTTTGTTATGGATCTCTACTTAGAAGTTTGGAGTAATCCCTCTTGAGATGACTCAAGTCTCCATATTCAAAGCAACCCCTCTTATGATGCTGCTGACCCTGATAACCCGAGTAAATACCTATGAAACCATGAGTAGATGGAGCACGGTAAGAACTCTCTGCTGGCAGTGCACTAAATGATGATTGAACTAGGCAAGCATTGTATGAACTGTGTCCAAATGAAGAACCATGAGGAATCTAACAAGCTGCCTGAGCAAGCCTAAAAGGACAACCTCTGATGTATAAGATTAGCCTCTAGACGAGGCACCACCTAAACCACGGGGCCTCTAGGCCTCCTTCTCCTCTCCTATCGCTCGAGCCTGTGAACATACACCAACTGCCGAGCAATCTCAACCACCTAGTCAAACCTAGCATCCGCCTCGGTCTCTCGAGCCAAACTGTAATGTAAACCATAGTTGAGGCTATCAATGAACCTCTCGAAGATAAGTACAAATGGCTTTGTATCGATCCGCAAGACTCTACTAAACTTTCTCATGACCCTTAGAACCTGCAAACCTAGGGCTATAATACCAACTTGTCATGACCCAAGACCGCCAACCGGTCGTGATGGCACCTAATGCACTTGCTGGACAATCCAAACATAACAATAATGAATCATAATAATAGAAATAATGAAATAGTACAAGTCTAAATCCATCAACATAACATAATAGCGTCGTTACATAATAAATCCCCCAAAACTAGTAAATAAAGATTCATGAGCCCTAGATGGAAATACAAGTCTGAAATGCCAAATAATCATATTGTCTGAATGAAAGACAACAGTACAAAATGAAAAGAGATGCCAAGACTGCTGTCGAGATGCAGCTCTACCTCATATCTCCTAATAAAACTCAGTAACAAGCCTCAGCTATTGGTGGCTCAGTCCAACACCTGGATTTGCACAATTAACTGCAAAGTGTAGTATGAGTACAACTGACCCCATGTACTCAGCAAGTATCATAACTAACCTCGGAGAGGTAATAGAAGCAAGAATTATAAATGATACTCGCTAATCATATGTATAATTCATAATTTTAATAAGTACAGAACAACAATATCATCAAGTCATGAATCAGATATAAAACCACCTTGGTGCACACAATAACTTAACATACTCTTTTCTAAACGATCCAGCATATAAAGAAGATATGCAAACAAATCTAGTAAGCAACCAAGGACATTGCAAGTAAAGATGAAATGCAGTAACCGAAACAAACATTGGCTAGCTTTTCCTTAGAGTCTCAATAATCGAACCAATCCACTTATTAGCTTTCCTCAAACTGCATGTACACGATCAAGAAGGAACATAAAAAGGTGACCCTAAGAGGGATAGATCCATATCCACATGTTACATGGAGTAGTCATGCGCTAAAGATCACAATCCTCTTGGCGTGGTCACATGCTCAATATCACAATCCGCCCGGCGTGGTCACATGCTTAATATCACAATTCGCTTGATATGGTCATGGGCTCAATATCACAATCCGCCCGGCGTGGTCACATGCTTAATATCACAATTCGCTTGATATGGTCATGGGCTCAATATCACAATCCGCACGGAATGGTCACATGCTCAATATCATAATCCGCACGGCATTGTCACGTGCTACTAGTCAATCCATATCATACAAAAAGAACACATACAAGAATGCATGTACATGATCGATGAACATAAAATTTCATACTCCTGGACTGGTATAAGTGATATGCTATGATGTATGCATGTGTAAAGTGTGCTATCATAGCTCAAATCAGGCAAATACATCACAAAAATAACAATTATCAGGTTCAATTAGGAGATTAACCTATATATAACCTCAAAAGCATGGCTCATATAGCTCACAACAAGGGTATAAATTTAAGAACCATCACAGCATGAAGCTTAGCAATCTATCCAAGACATATCATAGCCTAAACACTACCAACTTATCACGACCCAAAATCGCCAACCAGTCTTGATGTCGCATAAAGCACTTGCTAAGCAAGTCGAACATAACAATATCGAATCATAATAATAAAAATGATTAAATAGTGCAAGTCTAAATCCATAAACATAATATAATAGCGTCGACGCATAATAGATCCCCTAGAACATGGAAATACAAAGTCATGAGCTCTAAAATAGAAATACAAGTCTGAACTTTCCCTTGGCTTCTTCTTGATGAGGGAATATTTTCTTTAAAATCAACTGCCCCGGCATAAATTGGCGAGGTTTTACCCTTTTGTTGAATGCACTAGCCATCCTATTTTGATATAATTGACCATGGTATATTGCGTGATAAGTGGAGATTTTGACTACTTATTAGCACCCTTTTACTTTTGTTTTAGCCCAAAAGTGTTTAATTGTATTCCCTAAAACTGATGAAATATGCTTAATTGCAGGAGTATTGGAAAATGAGCCACAAAGATAAAATCCAACTCAAAAAAGAGTGATCTGAACTCAAGGACAAAAATCAGGCATAAAAGCTTAAGTGTGGACCGCAGATTTCCTTCTGCGGCCGCAGAATATGAAGGAATTCCATCAGAGGCCAAGTGCAAAGTGCGGACCGCACAATTATTGTGCGACCGCAGAAGTCAACTACGCAGTCGCACTCAGAAATGTGCGGTCCGCAGAAGAGCCCCGTGCGGCCGCACCAAGAATTGTGCGGACCGCAAATTTTGAAAGGTGTGGTCGCATTCCAGAATTGTGCAGTTGCAGATCCAACTCCTGTCAAGACTGAAGAAAAGTGTGGACCGCACATGAAATTGTGCGGCCGCAAAACCTTCGAAAGGTCATTTTAGTCCGAAATTTCCAGCTTTGTATAAATAGATTAGTTTCACGAATTTAGGTCAAGTTTTGAATATTGAAAGTTCTATAGCCATTTTTCCTTGCTTCTTTAGGAAACTTTAGCTTACTTTGGTGATTTAACATTGGATTTTTATCTTTTAATCTTTCAATATGCATTTTATCATATTTTCTTCCTTGTTTTCTTCTATATCTATTATAAGTAGCTAGATTTTTAACTAGGGTTGTGACTCAACCCTAGTGTATAAACCTAATGGGTATTTGATTTATGTCTTGTTTATAGTTGGGTGTTTATTATTTAGCCTTGTTCTTGCTTTTAATTGTAGAATTAATGGTTGCAAACATTATTTCATGCCTATTGACTTAGTCTCTACTTGAGAAAGAGAGACTTAGTCTAGAAAAACTTGGGTAACAATAATTTGGGATGAAATCAAGAGATTGATAGTCCCAATTAAAGGGATGAACCTAGAGATAGTAAAACCCGACTTGAGCATATTATCAACTATTTGGTTCAATACCCATTTGGACTTGAGAAAGCCAAATTGGGCAAAATCACTCTCTTACCGAGAGGTATTGAGTGGGTACTTGAGTGTTGATATCTATATTACACCCCGACCAACAAAACAAGCTTTAAAGTTTACAACCCATTAGGCAAAAACCTAGGTGAAGGTCATAGCCCTATGCATTTTACATTATTTGAAAACAACAACAAAAACACAATTTCTTAGTTTCAATTATTTGTATTTCAATCTTAGTTTAAACTAGACCTAGAATCTACCAAATTTGTGGAAGTTTAATTTAAGATAGTTCAAGCTCATTCACCATAATATATACTCCTAAATCCCATTCATATAGCTCTCTATGGAATTCGACCCCGACTCTCAGTTGGGTATTACTATTGCATCGACCGTTTTATAACCTCGAATAGAGGTGTGACTTGGACGAGATCACTACGTCTATTCTCTTCTAGTCAATAAGCATGAGTTGCTCTTGCCTGACTCGTATCCATTCTGCATCGCACAACCTAGCTTCCTGAATGACTCTCAAGGATGGTATCTCGACCTCTGCAGGTATCACAGCTTCGATGTTGTATACCAACCTGTATGGTGTTGCCCTAGTGGATGTTCTCATGGTGGTCCGATAACCCAGTAAGGGGAAGGATAATTTCTCGTGCATTGCCTATGATTGTCCATTATCTTTCATAGATATCTTTTAATACTTTTGTTGGCTGCCTCAACTGCTCCATTTATTTGCAGTGTGTAGGCTGTAGAGTTATGATGGACGATCCTGAACTTCTCACAAATTTCCCTCATGAGATCACTGTTGAGGTTTGTTTCATTGTTAGTGATGATTGACTCAGGTATCCCAAGCCGACAAAATATGTTGTTGCAGACAAAATCTGCCACTACTTTCTTCGTGATGGCTTTGCATGTAGAAGATTTAGCCTATTTAGTGAAGTAATCAACGTTTACCAAGATAAAATGGTCCATTTGATGCAGTAGGCTCTATAGGTCCGATTACGTCCATCTCCTAAGCAGTGAATGGCCAAGGTGATCCCATTACATTCAGCTCATTGGGTGGAACCCAAATAAAATCCCCGTGGATCTAGCACTAGTAACACTTCGATACATAGCGGATGCTATCACTCTCCATGGTCATCCAAAATTATCCGGCTCTTAAAATATTCTTGGCTAAAGTGATCCATTCATGTGAGGTCTGCATGTCCCTACATGTATTTGTTCTAGCAACCTGGTTGCTTCAAGAGCATCTACACATCTCAATAGATCCAATTCTGGGGTTCTCCTAGACAGGACTTACCCGTTGAGGAAAAATTGATTTCCTAGCCTTTTGAGTGCTCGCTCCGAACCATTGGTGGCCTTCTCTGGGTACTCTCTTATTTTAAGGAACCTTTTAATATCGTAGTACCACAGCTTACCATCTGGCTCTTCATCTATATGGAAATAGTACACATGCTGACCCTGGACCTCTATCTCAATAAGGTCAATGTTATTCTTATCTGGATGATGGATCATGCATGACAAGGTTGCGAGAGCATCAACGAACTCGTTCTGGTTCCTAGGAATGTGTTTGAACTCATTTTTTATTAATTTCTTGCACAGCTCCTTTACACAAAGCAGGTACAGACGGATCTTAACGTTCTTGGTGGTCCATTCTCCTTGAACTTGATATATCAACATATCAAAATCTCTTATGACCAGAAGCTTTTTGATGTTCATGTCGACTGCCATCCTAATCCCGAGGATGCATGCTTCATATTTGGCCATATTATTGGTGCAGGGGAACCTTATCTTTGCTGATGCCGGATAATGTTGTCCTGATTCTGAAATTAAGATTGCTCCAATTCCCACTCGTTTGAAATTTGCTGGCCCGTCGAAGAAAATTCTCCATCTTGGGTATGACTCTATAATGTCTTCTCCGGCGAACAACACTTCTTCGTTTGGAAACTATGTAGTGCACTCATAATCCTTGTCCAATGGATTATCTGCAAGGTGATCAGTTAAGGCTTGTCCTTTGATGGCCTTTTGCGTTATGTACACAATGTCAAATTCGTTAAGAAGAATCTGCCATTTGGCCAGTTCTCCCGTAGGCATAGGCTTCTGAAAGATATACTTAAGAAGGTCGAGCTGAGATATTAGATGTGTGGTGTATGCTAACATGTAGTGCCTCAACCTTTGGGCGATCCAAGTCAAAGCATAGCAGGTACACTCTATTAGAGTGTATTTGGCTTCACATGGTGTAAATTTCTTACTTAAGTAGTAGATAGCTTGCTATTTTCTCCCGGTTTTATCTTGTTGTCCCAACACGCATCCAAATGCATTATCCAAAACTGACATGTACAACAACAATGCCTTCCCGGGATTGGGAAGAACCAACACTGATGGATTTGACAAGTACTCCTTGATCCTGTTGAAAATTTTCTTACACTCTTTTGTCCATTTTGTAGCGACATCCTTTTTCAGCCGCTTGAAGATAGGCTCGCAAATTATCGTAGACTGAGCTATAAATCTGCTGATGCAATTTAGTTGGCTAAGGAAACTCATCACATCCATTTTTACTCTTGGGCTATGGTAAGTCTTGAATGGCTTTGATCTTTAAAGGATCCAATTCTATCCCGTTCCTGCTTATGATGAAACCTAACAATTTTCAGGTAAGGACTACAAGTGCACATTTTACGGGATTCAACTTCAAATGGTACCTCCACAAACGATCAAAAAACATCTTCAGGTCGTCTAAGTGTTCTGCACTCTTTCTAGATTTGATAATGACATCATCCATATATACTTCGATCTCTTTGTGGATTATGTCGTGAAAGAGGATCGCCATGGCCCTCATGTAAGTAGCACCAACGTTCTTGAGGTCAAATGTAATGACTCTATAGCAATAAACTCCCCAAGGCGTAGTGAACGTTGTCTTCTCTCCATCCTCTTCATCCATCAGGATTTGATGGTACCTAGCGAAATAATCCACAAATGACTGCAGCTTGTGCTTCGCGCAATTGTCGATGAGGATATGAATGTTTGGTAAAGGGAAATTATCTTTTGGACATGCCTTGTTAAGATCTCGATAATCCACACATATCCTGATCTTTCCATCCTTCTTTGGCACCGGTACGATATTTCCCAACCATGTGGGATAATTGGTGACCCTCACTAAGTTCGCCTCTATCTGTTTGGTCATTTCTTCTTTTATCCTCAAACTCAAAACTGGCTTGAACTTTCTAGGTTTTGTTTTGACTAGAGGTCTGGTAGGATCGGTAAGAAATCGATGTGAAATGATTTTGGTGGTTAATCCAGGCATGTCGTTATATGACTATGCGAATACGTCGATATACTAGCAGAGGAGCTCGACCAATTCTTCTTTCTTCTCTGCTTATAAATGGATGTTGATTCGAGTTTCTTTCACGTCTTCTTTGCTTCACAGGTTGACCACTTCTGTCTCTTCGAGGTTAGGCTTTTTCTATCTTTCCAACTGTTTAATCTCTTGTGTTTAATCTCTTGTGGGAGATTATCTAGCATCATGCTTTTGTCGTATTCCTCATAATCTAGATTGCTTTGCTCGAGGGTTTCATTACATGTCATAATCATGGAACATGGGTTTTTATCATTTTGATTACTAAAAAGAAAAACTAAGTAAAAATGAAGCGATAAATAAATTTTTAGTAATTTTAAGAAATGAATTACTTTTCTTTCATCAAAGAGCAACGTCTAAGCGTTCAAGGAGGCAATTGACAAAAGATTACAGGCACGGCTTAAGCCTCAATTGACCGTGCATTTTTTTCAAAAAGTTTTACAATTCCAGACTACCAAGACACCCAACGAACCAAAGACGGGCTGGCGGTCTAATTCTGCAAGTCCTCTCCTAGTTCAGCATTCCGAATGGTCGGTGTCTTGATATCAACTTCCTGCACCATTCTTCGATCATGGTCACGAATAACCTTCCCATTCCATCGACGATGTTGTCCTCTGGCACTGAGTTTTAACCTAGACCCAAAACACGCTCTAACACAAAAGCTTTCTTCCCGAAGCCACCGGTGTAAGTCTTTCCAGTTTGAGGCTAATACACTATGCCGGCTCTACCTTTCTGCCCCCCTCCC